CCTCCTTAAATTTATAGCCTCCTGAGGTTATAAAGTGTCCCAGGAGAAGGCCTAAGTCTTCCAGTCCCGGGTCACCTATTGAGGGCTGCTCATTTCTCAGGGCAGAATGATACTAAGTTCAGAGAGAATCCCACCCACTCTGGACTTCACTTTGCCAAAACATTTCACACAGCTATGAGCCTTTCTGGGGGTGACTGGGTTTTTGCAGAGTTTGGATTCCAGGATCCATATGGCTTATGTCTAGATGGCACCCCAAAGGCTCTTGCAGTAATAGGTGGGGATTTTCCAGAGGTGACTGGCTCTAGAGTGTGCAATTGATTCATGGCGCAATGCTGGGAATGAGGATGTGTGATTACTAAATCAGTCCACCAATTGGTTTGGCCCTAATCCCAGTAGCCTAGCGTGGTGGATTAACTAACGGGCAACTTGTAACACACAGCTGAACCGAATCAGCATGGCGTCGCGTGTGGAAGGCCCACCTGAGGACTGTTGCCAGCAGCATAAAGAGGGAACTAGAGGGGAGCACGGTGTGCTGTTGGTTCTCCTGGAGAGTCTTGTTGTGCTGGCTTTCCCGATATGAACTTGGCTGTTCTCATCATCCAAGGAGCCTGGGTCCTCGCTGGCAGTGAGGATGGCTGTGGTCCTCCTTGGGGAAGCCCGGGTCCTTACTTTTGTAGGGGACAATGACTCTTAGCATATCATTTTAAGATAGAATAATTCTAGTCTTCATGCAAGCCTCAAAATGTGTCTTGAGAAACATCCCGGAGGGGTTGTAAAGAGTTAACTTTGCAGTCCTGACTTAGCCCTGGAATGCTTCTCCAAAGACCAGGGCCCAGATAACCACCTATGACCCTGCCTGGGTTGTTTCATCCCTTCCATGGCCCTAGATAAACATTGTAACCATAAAGCAAATGTATGGTTATCTAAAGGGGGACATATAGAACAGAGTACAGAAAGTATATATCATTGTGGTTGGGCTCATGACCGGAGCCTGACCCGGTTACATGGCACAAGGAAAACAACATGTGGCCAGGGCTACAACATTCCTTTCTGTTACCATGGAAACCAAAAATGTATATAACCTGGGAACAAAGACAGGTCCACACCCACTTCCCGGACTTGCAAGTCGGGATGAGAGGTGACAGGTCTAAATTAAAACTTTGTCTGTTCTCTTTGGTCTCTTGCGAAATACAGCCCAAATTTTTGCTATAACACTTTAACCATCATTTCCTGGCTCTAGTGCAGATCCCTCAGCCTGTGACACAGATTCTTCATCCCACTGGCACAGACTTTCTAGATTCCACCACTGACCTTTGGGCCCTTCCAGTGCAGATCCTTGATACAGACTTGCATAGGACATTGTCATGGATTCTGACCTCCAGTTGGACTTGTAGAGCACGTCGCCATGGGCTCTAGGTCTTCAGCTGGACTCATGCAGGACATTGCCATGGGATCCAGGCCCTCAGTTGGATTGTTTGGGTCTCTACTGCATTGACAGATCTCTTGCACTCTTCTCCATTTGACTCTTCGGGTGAATATAATAAAATAATCCCATAAATTATGTGTCCTATATTAAGTCTTTTCCCTTGTAAACCGTGACCACAACACATAGATAGACTATAAAAGGGACAGAAAGAAGCTGCTAAGGTCCCTTGTTTTTTTCCTTTGCCTGCTTGCTGTGGACTATTTCTTCTCTGTGATGCCCCTCTGCCACACCACCCTGCATCGGAGCCAACCAGCTATGAACTGAAACCTCTATGAACTGTAAGCCAAATAAACCTGTCCTTCCTTAACTTTGGGTGGCAGATCTGAAAGGATGACACATCTGAAAGAAGAAGAACTGAAAGAGCTAAAAGGCTCTGACCATGGCCCCAAAAGTAATGCCTGAAGAAACTTAAAGGGCCTTGAGATTTATATATCTATATATAGGTATATAGATATGTATCAGGAGGTAAATTATGATTGACAAAAATCTCACCTTAACTTGGTGTTGAACACTCAGCAACAGAAGGATATAGCCAGAGATATGTATAAGCAACAACAATATAGGCTACACGTACAGAGAGGGGCTCCAATCACTGATTCCTATCAGTAGTTCTCTTTTTTTTTTTTTTTTTTTTTTTTTTTTTTGGAACAGAGTCTCACTATGCAGTTCAGGCTGGTCTCAAGCTCACTTTGTAGCCCAGTCTGGCCTCAAACTCACAGCGATCCTTCTGCCTCAGCCTCCCTAGTGCTGGGATTGCAGGGGTGCACCACCATGCCCAGCCCTATCGGTAGTTCTAAAGGCCAGATGATTACCATTGTTATTCCAACCCTCTAAAAGCAGCGTCTGATGTGGCTCCTCCCCCAGTCAGCCTGTCCATTCTATTGCTCATGTTTTGGTTACAGATTTGCTTTAATCTCTTGGGAAAGCTTGTTTATTCTTGCCTAGAAGCTGCCAAAAACCAAGTGATCATACAGATGAGATGCACTGGAAAGGTGCCAGACTTCTGCCAAGGCCCATCAGACGAACCTCTCTGCTACAAACCTCCATCCGCTGCTCCCCAACTGCAACCCCACTCAGCTCAAAGTCAGATCAGCCAGCATATGTTTCCCCAACAGCTGTTTAATGGTTGTCTCCAACCAGAGGAATGTAGGAATGGGGCAGAAGTAGGGAAAAAATAGGATGAAGGCCTCCCTGAGCTTTGTTAAAAGTTAATAGAGAGACTTATTTAGGGAAGTGGCCTCTGCCTCTAGAGCTTAGGCTCAAGCCATCAGAAAGACAAAAAGAAAGAAACTAAACTCAGGGAGGTCCCAAGTAGCATGAGCCCCTTTACTTAGTTCTTAAACCTAAACTACTTGTCCCTAAATGCCCCACCCATAAGCCTAGCCTCCACCAAACTACAGGAAAGGTCACACGACTGGAAGAAATCCAAGGGGAGGACCAAAGACAGCCATGGAGCCAGTCGGATTCCAGGAGCCTACATGGGACAAGGATCTCAATAAAAATGCGCTGCAGACAGGAATCCACGAGTATTTCATCTTTCAATTCTCCCTGCTTTTGGAGTAGCTATCACCTCTCTCTTCCCTGTTTTCTCCACCTTCAAATAAATCATCTTCTCTTAAGAAACACAAAAAGAAAGAATGAAAGAAAGAAAGAAAGAAAGAAAGAAAGAAAGAAAGAAAGAAAGAAAGAAAGAAAAAGATATTGAAGGGAACTAGCATCCTGCATCAAAACAGACATGAAACAGCACAAGATTCATCTAAAAGGCAGAGTACAGTGGTGAGAGGGCCTGGGGGAGCTTTAAGGGATAGAGGAAGAACATTTCCTAGAGCCTAAGACTTCTAATAGCAATCATCAAGAAATCAAATAACAAATGCCAGTGAGGCTGCAAGGAAAGAGAAACCCTTCTGTACTGTTAGTAGGAATATGAGGGCTGGGGATATAGCTCAACGGCACAGCGCCTGCCTGGCAAGCACAAGGTTGTGAGTTTGATTCCCGGTACCAAAAAAAAAGAATATAAACTAGTACAATCACTATGGAAATCAGTATGGAGGTTCCTCCAAAAAAACCTAAAATTAGAAATTTTATTTGACTTAAGCTATTCCCCTTTGAGGTATCTTCTTGAAAGAGTTAAAGACATCATAGTACAGTGATACATGCACACCCATTTTTATAGAGGCAATTCATAAATAGTTAATTTTTGGAGTAGCCTATATGTCCATCAACAGATGAATGAGCAAGGAAAATGTATTTATACACAAAGGAGCCATAAGAATAAATTTGAGTCATTTGTAAGAAAATGGATATACTTTGAGACCATAATGTTAAGTGAAATAAATCAGACATACAGCTTAAATATCACATAACTCCTCTTAGATAAGAAACCCAAAGTGTAAATAATGTAAGAAACAAAATAAGAATAGATAATAGGAAATAGGGAGATAGACTTTTGCAAGTGAGAAAGAGATCTAGAGATGGAGAAGGGGGAGGAAAGGAAGGGGAAATAAAAAGAATTAAGATGTGTTTCACGCATGTACCGGCTCCCCACATGAATGTGACCATTATGTATGGCAAACACATACTTAATCTGGAAAAAAAGGAAGAAAGATTTCAAAACTGAAGCATTTTCATATCGCAAGGCAAGGAGTGAGTGGCTAGGGTAGGCAAGGTAACATCTTTAGATCGGAACGAAGATAGGATATTGAGGGATTGTTTACATGGGTGTAGAACCCCACTAGCATAGTGCTATGTATCGGGAGGACAAAAACACTGCATGACAGCTCGGTACATGCCTATAATTCCAGCACTTGGGAGGCTGAGGCAGGAGGATTGCTGTGAGTTTGAGGCCAGCCTGGGCTACGCAGACTCTGTCTCAAAAACAAAAACAAAAACTTCATGAAGGCTGAGTTACCCTCAAAAACAGGATAAATCCCTTTTGTACATATTATGAAGTAAAAGTGGGAGATCTAAGTAAAATTACCTCATGGATAGCTGAAGAAACAGGTCTAACTTCATCTAGAAAGTTGAGTGATAAATAGTGCACTTTTAGAAAATAATGGTACCAATCATTGTGCATAAGGAAGGTAGTGGTGGTGACCCAGGTTTTGGTTTAGTTTTTTGGGGCTTTTTTATTTGTTTTGTTTTTTTGTTTTTCTGAGACAGGGTCTTGCTATGTGGTTCATGCTGGCCTTGAACTCTCTATGTAACCCAGGCTGGTTTCAAACTCCTAGCAACCCTTCTGTCTCAGACTCCCGAGTGCTGGGATTACAGACATGCACCACCACACCTGCCTGGTGACCTAGTTTATCTTTTTTTTTTTTTTTTTGAGCCAGGGTCTCGCTATGCAGTTCAAGCTGGGCTTAAGCTCACTTTGTAGCTCAGGCTGGTCTCAAACTCACAACAATCCTCCTGCCTCAGCCTCCCGAATGCTGGGATTACAGGCATGTGCCACCACACCCGGCAAGGTGACTTAGTTTAAACCTAAATTGGGAATTAGCAAAAGTACAGGTGAGGATAAGTCAATTTGCATAAAAGACTAAATTGCCTCTAGAGGAAAAAATGTACTGTGTTTAATTGTTAACTTCACATAAATTTGTGTGTTTCTGATGAATTTGTGGAAGAAACACACAAACTTTACTTGCTAGACGGCTGAAGATCCACCTACAGGAAAAGTAAGCAGAGGGAAGCAGGTTCCATGAGCATGCACTGAAGCGGCTTTGGTTATTAGAGGCGGGGATAAGGTCGGGATCTGCATAGTGTTGTCCGTTTGGATTTAGTGATAAAAATAGTGGGCTTGGAGATCAGACTTGCCAGCGTTGACTGGGTAACAGTGAGCAAATGATTTACCTCTGACATCTTAGTTTTCTCCCCTGTAAAATAGAAATAATAATAATAGAATCTAATTAAGCAATTAAAAGGATTCTGCTAAAGAGCCTATAGAATAAGTCTTAAAAAATCATTGTTAAAGGGCTTATGATACTGCTAAGCACATAGCAAGCATTCAGTAATTGTTTACTAACTACAATAATAACAGTAACACTCCCCAGGCTCCAGTAGACCCAAAGCAGAGTCCTAGACCACAAAAGAAAGAGCTCAGGCAGAAGGCCTGGACACATAGTGGCTTGTGACCCTTCCTACCCGAATGTACCACCAAGCTCCAAGGAGAAGGGGCACCCTTTCCCACCTCATAGACATGACAGGGCTCTGGTTCTGCTGGGGCACCAGAGACAACATGAGGACGCAGGGCCCAGACACATGGTATCGGGACCCAGAATTAAATGACAAGACCCAAATTGTACCCTGTGGAGGTGGCAAAGTACTAGTGCCAGACTGCAGAGTGTTAATTTATGAACACAATGCAGATGCCTCCTGGAAACCCCCAGAAATATTTTAAAGGTAAAGACCTGCAGGAGTAGGTGAGATAACAGCCATTTTAGTCATTAGGGTCCATATGATTCCAGATGTCTTGGGTCATACATGAGATGTTTTCTGAGAACTAATTATCATCACGTTGGCAATCAACATCATCTTTGCAATAAGGGGCCCTTAGTGGATAGACAACTGGTGGTCAGCTTATAACCCCCAGCTGAACTGAGTGTGAATGGTGCTGGGTGTGGGAGGCCTACCTGGGGCTTACTGCCAGGAGCATAAGAGGCAGACCTGGAGAAGAAGAAGAAAGGCTTTTGGGAACTAAGGGGTTGTTGGGGGCAGAGAAAGACTGTTGGAGTCTGTGGAAGCTGTAAGGAGCTGTTGGTTGTTTTGGAGGAGCTC